ACACACACACACACACACACACACACACACACACACACACACACACACACACACACACACACACACACACATTCATGAGATGAGACTCAGTTACCTCCAGTAACATGACCTATTACACATCAGGGTCTTCTTTCACATCAAACTGCTCACACACAGCAAAATAAACAGGGATATGTTGCTGATCTCCACGGCTAAATGTTTGTCCRGTGTGGACCTTAGAGATGAGAATGCATCAGAAGGCTGCAGGGCAGTCTGTCCTCCTACATGCTTTTCCAGTCTGAATGCATGCCACAATGCTGTAGGCCAACCCACTCAGCAGGTTGGCTGCCCCCCTGCCGACCCACCTCCCTCTCTGAATGTACCACTGCGCCTGACTTTGGCCTGACTTTGACTCAGAGCTTAGTGAGATATGGTTGTCTGGCGTTTCTAAATCACCATCTGCAGAGAAGTTTAGCCGCGCRCCGTGAACACAGCCTCGTCGCCTTTTCGACACCGGCTTCTTTTCAGCACCGCTCAGCGTCCTGCCGTCTCCAACCGTTATGCAATCATCGAGAACTATTTTTGTTCCAGATTAAAAAGCAGCTCAAAGCCAATCTATCTGGCGTTTGTTAAATTACTTCGTCAAGAGCCACCGCTACCAGCGTTCACACAAGAACTCCAACGTGGTTGCCAGCCACCTCACTGAATGTGTRTTTTCTGAATTTGGCAAAGATCATAATGGAAGTGTTTGTGTCTGTGGTCAGCAGCCAATCACATTGTCCTTGGTCTCCAAACTGACTTTGGCTTTTTTTTTTTTACTAAAAACTAAAACATAAATCATCAAAGTCCCTGGTTTCCATCTAACTAGAGGTCAAACTAATTTTTTTCTAGCAATGAGTGCCTTTGAGTGGCAGCACAAATGCTCTCTTCTGTTCTTTTCCTTTGCTCCCTCTTTTTCTTCCTTTGTTTTTGTTTCTTCTGACCTTCAGACGAAAAGAGATTTGTGTGCAGATTTGCTTTGCCTGCCAAATGAAGGGTTTAATTAGAAGTGGTGTTATTTCGGCGCAAAGCGGGAACAACGGATCGAAGAGAACAAGGGACTAAAAAAAGACAGACAGGGGGCAGAAAGGGAAAACGGGTAATCTAAAACCGGCAAAGTGTGCGAGACGTCACCCATTAACAGACGGAGACACGGTGGCGACTCAAAGTGAGCGGCGCATTTGCCACAACCGTCTGTGCTCAAAAGATTTATCAAGGATGATGTAACTGTCTGAGCAAAAAGGGCTCAGTTGAAACATCACTTTGGATGACACACGATTAATCTAACTTCTTACTTTAGCTTCTTTGTGTTTAAAAGAAAACCGCTTTGATAGCATTGGTTCTTTGTGAATATTGTCGCTCATTTCATCAGTTTATGCAGATTTTATTTAAATCCARTCGTCTTATTCTGTGTTTTTTCTGCTTGTAGGTGTGGAGCTGTGAATCCTGGCAGTGTGCGTTTATACTGAGAGGTCACCAGGAGTGTGTCAGAAGCTGCCGGTTTTCCTGGGACGGCCAGCTCCTCGCGACAGGGGATGACAACGGAGAGATCCGGGTGTGTATTCAAGTATATTTCATTTATTTTCYCCAGAGTTGTAAAGTAACTAAGTACAAATACTTTGTTACTGGACTTAAGTAAAATTTTTTGGGTATCTGTACTTTACTTGAGTAATTATTTTTCAGCCTGTTTTTTACTTCTTTTTACATTTTCACAAAATTATCTGTACTTTCTACTTCTTACATTTTTTAAAAAGACAAGAAGTAGAAAGTCGTTACTTTTATTTGATTTTTGCTTGTTTTCATTCCAGCTTGTTGTAAAAAATAAATACTGTCCATATAAATTGACAGAGTGAATTTAATTGGGGTTGAATGAGAAGTATAAATATATAAAATTCTGATACAGTATTAGTTTGAACACAAACAAATCATGTCACACTCCAGCAGGACATAAAGGACTGTACTTTAGAAGTATTTGTATTTCACGATTTATATTATTGCATTTGGTCGCAGCTCTCAGATAGATTTTCATTTTGGGGAAAAGGTTTGTGCAGCCTTTATATGTTTATGAACTGAAACAGCTGGACTAGTGCATCCTAAATTTAACATAAATTAATTATTTTAATACAATGTAGTCATTTCTGCATTTTTGGGGGAGGTCACCTCCTAATAAATGTCATTACATAAAATCTAACTGTTCATTTTAAATCATTACTTTTACTTTTAATACTTAAGTACAAAAAATATCAGATACTTTAAGACTTTTACTCAAGTAATACTCATAAAGGAGACTTTAACTTTTACCAAAGTAATTTTTGGGTAAGATACTTGTACTTTTACTCAAAAATCACTTTGTGGTACTTTATACAACACTGATTTTCCCTCCTTAGTTTTTGTTCTGTTAAGCTGGAAGGAGCGCAAAGTCAGGAGGATTAGGAGTTGTGATGCAAAATGAGACGTGATCCTCGTGTGTCAACACATTAAGCAGCTCTGTATTACTCTCATGAGGATCAGCGACAGTGCCTAATTTTCCTTCAAAATACAAAAAGCAATTAAAGCAGTCAACATTTATTTCCCGAATTCACCCTCTAATTACATGTCATCCCTCATTTAGATAAAGTGCTTACTCGTGATTAGCGCAGTGCACACAGGAGGGGTTGAGATGAAAGCGAGGAGGCAGGGCTCCTTCTCACGAGGAGGTGCAGTGTAAGGAGTCTGGGAGTGAGCGGGAACAGGAGGAGACGGCAGAAGGAGGAGGAGATGACAGCTCGGGCTGCCAAACTGGATCTCTGAGGCCCCACTGTCTGAACGGCTCTTGCAGGAAAACCCGCAAAGTGAACCGTGTGTGTGTGTGTGTGTGTGTGTGTGTGTGTGTGTGTGTGTGTGTGTGTG